CAAATATTCTTTTATAAAAAAAAATATAAATAATAATATTAAATCAAAAAATTTACTTAAAATTTATATAAAAAATAAAATAAAATCATTGATATTTAAAATATTTGAAAAAAAAATAATAGATATAAAAAAATATATTTAATTATAAATCATAAAAATATTTTTTTAAAAAATTTATGAATATTATATATATTTATTTTATAAAAAAGTAAAAGATATTAATTATATTTTTAGAAAAATAATAAAATATTTAAAACTGTTTATTATATAAATCGAGATTAAAAAAATGGAATATGATTTAATATTTATAAATATTTAAATAAACTAATATATAAAATTTTAAATAAATATATTAAAGAAAAATTAAAAAAAATAAAATATATACCAATATATATATATATATATATATATATATATATATATATATTTATAATATTTATATTTTTCTATTTAATTTTTCCATATGTATTAATTAATTTTTTTTATTATTTTAAATAAATATTTTTTTTTTTAGCTTTTATAATATATTTTCTATTCTAATATTTTATTTTTATCTTTTGATTTTTTTTTTTCCTCTTTTTTTAATATAAATAGATATTTCTTTAAATAACTATATATTTTTTTTATCTTATTATTTTTTAATTATTTTAAAATTTTTCTTTATAAAAATATATCCTCAATTAAATATTTTTAATTATTTATATTTATTTTAATAATAATTTTTTTTTAATATTTTAACCTCTATTCTTTTAATATTAGTTTTTTATTATATTTTTCTCTTTTATTTTAATGAATGTAAATATTTTTTTTATCAGATTACACTTAAAAAGGTTTTTTTTTTCTCTTTAATAAATCTGAATTTAGTATCATATATTTTTTCTAAATTTTTTTTTATTTTACATTAAAAAACTAGAGTATATAAATTAATAATTTTTCTTTTTTGAAAAAAAAAAATCCTTTATATTTATTTAATTTAATATTTTATATTTTAATATATTATAATTTTAAGATTCTCATAATTTACCAATTTATAAATTTTTACAGTTTTTTTTAAACCTTTTTTTTTCTCAAAACGCCCTTTATGTATTTTTTGCAGTTAGTATTAGCTATTTTGAATAAATTATGAACTGAAAAGGGTTAAATTATATGAATAATCACTTAAAAATATATTTTGTCTCATAAAAGATACCGAATTCTACTATTTTTTCCTATTAATCACATAAAATTTCCCTTCTCTAATAACCAAGCGGCTTATTATTGATAATAATTAAATTCTGAGACGAAAATTACCGTTTTTATAATAAGAAAGAGTTTCGTGTTTAGGAATTTTGCAGAAAAAGCATTTAAACTATCAAAAAATTGAATAAGTTTTTTAAAACATTAAGTACAACAATAATCAAAATCTTGTTATTTTTTCACCAAATTAGTCAAAAAAAAAAAAACTTTCTGAATTTATTTAAAATCTTTTTATATATTTTTAAATTAAATCCTAATTATTTTTCTCTGTTAAACTAGAATATTGTTTCTAAAAATCGGAATTTTCGTATTAATTAAAAAAAAATGTTTATTCGCCAACCCCTCACCCCATCTAAAATATATATATAAAAAAAAAATATATAATATTTCAATTAAAAAGAAAAAAAAAATGTTTTTTATTGTTTTCTAAATAAAATACAAATACAAGGAAAATCCGGCATCCTAATACATTAGCAATTTAAATTTGCTAATTAAAACCAGTTATAGAGAGTATAACTGATAAACTAAATTTATAATTAACTTATCAAATTCAGTAAGTTCAAAAGTATACCTCAAAATTTTAAATATGTTATTTTAATAATAAATTACACAAAGTTACAAAAGGTAAAAGTAAATTAAATTACATTTTTTAATTTTTTTATTATTATTATAATTATAATTATAATATTAATATTATTATTATTATTATTATTATTATTATTATTATTATTATTATTTTAGTTTGTATTAACCACTTTATATGAAGCATATATAAACTAATGTTATTATACTTTATTGACTTCATTTTTCTTATATGTTTTATTTCTAATAATGAACTATTAAATATAAATATCATATATATATCATTAAGCTATTTTTATTTTATAAATAATATAGATTCTGCCTATTTTTATAATACATTTTAAATATTCTTATATTACACTATATTTCTTTTATATGAGGAATTCAAAGATGGTATTATTTTAGATTTATTTTTAAGGTGCAATTTTTTCGTTTTTAGATTTTAAAAATGATAATTCACTTATTTATTTTTTTATTTTTTTCTTTTTATAATATTTAAAGCTGTCATTCTTTTGAATTATAAAAACTTTAGCAATGATTTTAAAATAAAGTATTTTTAAAAATTACTATCATATTTATAGATTTATTATATAAAAAAATTATATCTTTTAATAATTTTGAATTTTTGATGGATTATAAAAAAAAAATTATAATCTTTTATTTAAAATGAAATTTTATTTTAAATTATTAATTAAAAAAAAGTATTAAGAACATATTTAAATTATATTTATAAAATTATATTATACTTTATAAAATCAACTTTTTAAAATAAATTATACATATTATATTTGTTATGTTTAACATATAGATTTTAATATTTTTTATTCCTTTTTTATAAAAAATATATAATGTAAATTTATAATATTAAGAATTCTATTTACTATATATTTTTTAATAATATTAAGTTAATTATCAATTCTTTTAATTTTTTATTTTTAAAAAAATAATAACTAATAATTATTTATATAATAAAAAATATATTATAATTAATAATTATAAAATATAAATTTTGATTTTCAAATAATTTATTATAGAATTTATAATATATACTTTCATAATACAAATAATATAAATTTATAAAATTATTTTTATTTCAAATTATATAAAATATAATTTATTGTATATTATTTAATAATAAAAATAATCTGAATAGTATATTTTTTTAAAAATATATATTATCCTCTAATGTAATATATATATTTTATTTTAAATACTAATTTTCAAATTAAAACTATATTATAATTATCAATTTTATAAATATAAATTTTGTATTTACACATAATTAAAATATTATATATTAAAACTTATTTTATATTTATTTATATATTATAATTTCTTTTAAATATTTATTATTTTTAAAAAATATAATTTTTAAATATTAAATGTAATTTTATATCATATAAAATATATTAAAATTATAATATAGATTATAAATAAAAAATTATATAAAATATTAATTAACATATATAAATATATATATATATATATATATATATAAATTATAATAAATTATTTTTTATTTACTTTTATAATATATATTTATAAAATATTTTTTATTTTCTTTTTATGTTTTAAGTATGTATTTATAATTTTGTTACTAAAAATATATTATAATTAAAGTTTTCTTAAAATAAATTATAATATTATTAATATATTTAGTTTTAATAAAAAAATATAAATTCATTGAATGTCAAAAGTAGAAATATAATATTATTTATAATTATTTTATTTTTGTATTTAGATGCATATTTAGATACTAATTCTTATTATTTTTACATTGCTATAATATGTTTAAAGCCAATTATTTTTTATATATATTATAAATAAATGAAATATATTTGAATTTCATAAGAATTAATTTTTTTAAAAAAAAAAATACTATAATAACTAAAAAGTGCGTAAAATTATTATTTCATTTATTTTTGTTACTTAAAAATATTATTTTAGGTAAAAAATACTATTTTTAAATAAAATTATGTTATTTTTTTAAAAAAGGATGTAAAAAATATTTTCCATTATATACAATTTCATTTTTAAATTATATTGATTTATGAAAAAAGTTATTTAAATTTTTCTAAAAAAATATATATAAAAATAGTAAGTAAGAATTTATTTTATATAAATTAATCAAAACGAATTTGATAGTATGTAAATAAAAAAACAGAATTTTATTTTATAATAATAAAAATATTGAGAGTAAACTATATATTATCATATTTTATTTTATTTTTTAAAAAAACAAGGATGTAAATAATTTTTAAAATTCACAAAATAAAAAGCTAGTAAATATAATAAAATAACTATAAAATATAATTTTATATATAAATAGTGTGTAAATAAATAAATTAAATAAAATCAAAACAATTCTTTTATAAGTTGGTAGAAAAAAAAATTAAATTGATAAAAAATAAAAATATTTAATAAAAGCTTGTATAAAAAATCATAATTATAAATTTATATAAATTTTTTTATAAAAAATAGTGTGTAAAATTTATTATTATACAAATAAATATATTCTTTGCTTTATAAATAGGTAAAATAATATATATTAATTTTTTTTATATATATATATATAGTGAGTATTTAAAAATAAATTATAAAAAAAATATATTTATGAAAAAATTATGTAGATTATTGATGTAAAAATAATATTAATTTAAAATAAATAATAACAAAAAATAAAAACAAGTGTGTAAAGATAAAAAAATTCAAAATATAAAATATAAATTCAAAAAATAGAATGTATAATATTTATTTATTTATTTTAATAATAAATATTCTTAAAAAAAAGCAAGTAAATATATAATGAGATACTTATATTTAATAAAAAAAATATATATTTTTATTTAAAATAGCATGTAACATAAAATATATAATTTTTTATTTAAACTTAACGATTTTTTAATAAAAATAGGTAGTATTTTTAGTAATATTAAATAAATATATTTTTTAGTTAATATTTATCTTTTTAATTAAATTAGTGAGTAATAATTAATTAAATATGTTAGTTTAAATTAATAATTATTTATTAAATATAGGGAGTAATAAAAATAAAATAACATTTATACTTTGATTTATCAATTTTTATTATAAATAGAAAGTAATATAAAATAAATGAATTTTAATTTAAATCGTTATTTTATATTAAAAACAGAAAGTAATAAAATAATAATAATATATTTTGTTTAAATTTATTGCTATTTATTAAAAATAGACAGTAATATTAAATATAATAGAATTTTAGATTAAATTTATGAATTTTTTATTTAAAATAGTTTTTAATATAAAATATAATTCATTTAATTTAAAATGTATCAATTTTTTATTGAAAAAAGTTCATAAAAATTTATTATAATAACATTTTTGGTTTGAATTAATTTATTTTTATTAAAATTAGGGAGTAATAATAAATAAAATTGAATTTTTAGTTTAACTTTATTAATTTTTGTTAAAAATAGGAATTAATATTAAATAAAATATATTTTAAGTTTATATTTATTATTTTTTAATTAAAAATAGTATGTCGTATAATATAAAAAAAAAATTACTGCTTATTTATTTATTAATAATAGAATGTAAAATTAAATATATTATAATTTTTAAATTAGATTTATCATTATTTTATTTTAATAAAAATAGCATGTAATAATAAAATTATATGCTGAGTATGATTTGAAGTTTTAAATATTTGTTATTAAATATAGGGAGTAATATTAAATATATAAACTTTTTTAGATTAGATTTATCGATTTTTTGTTAAAAATAGCCTGTAATATTAAATAGAATTAATTTTTAGTTTAAATTTATTAAAAACAGTAGGTAATATTTAACTAAATAAAATTTTTCGATATAATTAATTTGTTATTAACATGAAATAGGAAGTAATATTATATAATAATATAATTTTTTTAAAATATAATTATTTTTATTAAAAATAGATTGTAATATTTAATAAATTAAACTTTAGCTTAAATTTTATTTAAAATAGAAAGTAATTTCAATTTAAATAATATTGATATCTTAATTTATTTATGATTATTTTTAAATAGACTGTACTTATTAATAAAATAGTATTTAAAATTTATCAAATTTTATTAAAAATAGTAAGTAATATTTAAATAAAATAGTATTTTTATTTAAATTTTATTTTTTTTATTTTGAAAATAGTCAGTAATACTAAATAAAATATATAATTTTCGGATATTAATTATCAATTCAATTTTTTATTAAATAGGGAGTAATATTTAATAAAATATAAATAAATTTATTAGATAAAATTTATAAAAAATAGACAGTAATATTATATAATATAATTTTTATTTTAAAAAAATTATTTATTAATTTTTAAAATAATAGATTGTAATAATAAATTAAATTTTTATAATTTAAATTTATTAATTTTTAAGTGCGTAAATATTAATATTTAATAGTTTTATATCTTTATTTTAGACTGTAAATATAATATATTTTAATTTTATATTTTTATATAATATGAATAGTTGACAAGTTTCATATATATCTTAATCATTCTTATTAAATTATAATTATTTTATTTAAAAAAAAGTAAATTTTACTTTTTTATAAAATTAATTATTTTATTTATAGGCTGTTATGTAAAAATAATTTTATTTATATATCATTAATAATAATATATATTTATTTTTTCAAGATTTTTTTACGTTCGAAATATTATTTTATTTTAAAAATAGGAAGTATTTTTAATTTATATAATATTTTAATTTTTTATTATTTTTTTAGCACAAAGTATTATGTATTATATATAGATTATATGATTATCGTTATATTAATAGGAAGTAATTTTCATTATTTACTTATTTTGATTTTGAAATAGATAGTAATATATATTTTATATTTATCTTTTCTAAAATAATAGTGTGTACTTTTATTTATGTTTTTTCTTTTAA